CTGTGGTATCGAAGCCAGTTGGCCAACAAATGCACGAAATGCACACGTCACATGGTTTCTTTTCCTACCTGTGAGGGAAGTAAAGGCTCATTTCCATTGTCCAGCTCATACAGAGCCACATCAGCCTGCAATACACCGGAATGACAAAGAATAAGTAAAGAACATTTTATATGCATAAATTGTAGAAATCTACATCTACTCCCACTGTCCCTCGTGTACTGTGGACAGCAGAAGCCTTCTCGATGTACTCTATGTACTTGCAATAAATCGACTCAATCTCTTTAAAATGACATACTGTAAAGAAAAATGTGCATTATGCAAACTGGCATTTGTTTGTGACGCCAAACCATATTTCAATTGAAACGCAAATTTCTAACCCATCCTCGTGCAAGTTATTACAGTGACAGCCGGACATTAATACCTAATGACTAACCTGCTATGTACTTGCAATAAATCGACTCAATCTCTTTAAAATGACATACTGTAAAGAAAAATGTGCATTATGCAAATTGCATTTGTTTGTGACGCCAAACCATATTTCAATTGAAACGCAAATTTCTAACCCATCCTCGTGCAAGTTATTACAATGACAGCCGGACATTAATACCTAATGACTAACCTACTTTATACTGTAAAAAGCAAATCGACCATATTATTGTACAGTGGGATCCAAAAGTCTTTTTTCATGTTTTTTTTTAACAATTAAAGGGATAGTTCACCCAAAAATAAAAATTATGTCATTAATTACTCACCCACATGTTGTTCCAAACCTGTAAGACATTTGTTCATCTTCGGAACACAAATTAAGATATTTTTTATGAAATCCGAGAGCTTTCTGACCCGGCATAGACAGCTAGGGAACTACCACATTCAAGGCCAAGAAACGCAGTAAGGACATCCTTAAAATAGTTCATGTGACATCAGTGTTTCAACCGTAATTTTATGAAGCTACAAGAATACTTTGTGCGCAAAGAAAACAAAAATAATTACTTTATTAAACAATTTCTTCTCTTCCAGTCAGTCTCTGCCACCGTTCATGAGAGTACCACAACACATGCGTGTGATGGTGCTGAGCAGGAGCCGGAGTTCTGACGTAGAACCCGCATGCGCTGCACCTTGTTTACAAGCAGAGGAATGCACACGCATGTCGTGGTACTCGTGAATGGCGGCAGAGACTGACCGGCATGAACGACTAAGGGTGAGTAATTAATGACAGAATTTTCATTTTTGGCTGAACTGTCTCTTTAAGATTTTCACTCACATTGTTACGCTGACAGTATAATTTATAATTACACTTTTTTTAAATTATAATTTTATTTTATTAGCCGTGTCAGATTTTTGGACCCAAGTCTATCTGGACTTCAGTGGAGCTCACCTAGGCCTACAGTCTTTCAGAAACCATGTGTTGTTATAGAAATCGAAGCCAATGGGATGGGAATTATATTATGGGATTATCTTTACTATTGCATATCTTTTATAACACTGTTGCTACTAAAAGGTGTGAAACAAATCAGTCTAAGTAAAAAAAAAAAAAATCTGAACTTTTTTGTAAAATAATTTTTTTAAAGATTTCTTTCTTCCTGTTCTACATTTTACTTCCTCTTTGACTGCATCTATTACTGCTGGTGTGACAACAGGTCAAGACATGCCTTTGGGTAACCATTTATAGAACTACAAGTGTCTGAGTGTGTTTGTCGGAAAGACAGAAAGACTGAGGAACCACTAAGAACAAGGATTTTGATTCCTCACCTCTGCCTTACATAACCATTAACCGAAGTCACAATAATTAAAGTACGTTCTTGCTCTATGACGTTTAAAGAAGCAGCACAGCCTCATGACAAATAACCTGTTTAACCACAACAGCACCATTATTCATTCCGTATTTGCACACATTTTACGCAATACAAACACATGATAATTTTACTCTGCCACAACATCCATTAATAATGAGTTTAAAACATCTCATCCGTAATAAATTATTTTTTTATGCATCACACAAGATTAAAGCAATTATAAGCAAATTAATGAGTTGTCTAAGTAAAACATGAGTGTATATAAACATATTTAGTCACAGCAAAGTCTCTTTTCTGAAGCATACACCTGAAAGTTATCAGCAACAAGATGTTCAGGTCAGATGAGTGTTCCTCAGAATAGGTCCTTTTCTGTGGACATTAATGCCTGCTAAATAACGTTGTTAAACCTGTCTGAAATAACTACACTACACACATTTTAATAATCCAAATGAGTCATTCACTAAGGAAAAATAAAAGTCATATCAAAAGTTCTTGCTTGACAGAAGACCGTAAACAAAAACATGTACATATACTGTTACTGTAACTTGCCTCTCTATATGTTGTGGAACATGTTACAGTAATATTAGTAGTGGTGAAAGCCAATGTTTACGACAGGGTGAGTGCAACAGAAACTGCTACTGCTGTCTACTGTACTGAAAATGATATATTTCTATTTAATTTACTGTACACTTACCATGATTAATAGCGCATTTCTCATTCTAAATAGCTCTAACTAAATACTCAGAAAACAGCACTAGTCCTTTTTCTTCGCATGAGCGATCAAAAGTCTCACGTTGACCAATTAAATGAATAAACACTTCAAGATCAATTACAGACAGGCCTTTACCTATGCACCTGCAACACACACACACACTGTACCTCTCGATCAGTGAAGAACATCCTCAGATCAAAGTTTTCAAAGCAGTTCTGTTACGTTCAGGCAGACTGACGTCAGTGTCTCTTCTTTTATCCTCACATAGCCGAAGACCAGCTCGAACTAATGCGAGAAATTAAAACTAACTAGAGACCGATCGAAAGCAGTGTGAACTTCCGCATTATTTGCCGACTCATGTTTAAGAAATCCGCAAGCACGACGGTGTGCTCATGCCATTTACCTTTACAGGTGAGACCACAGACGTCATCGCTTTCTGTGGAAGGGCGGGGCTGAGCTTCTTTACTGTCGATACACACATCAAACTTTTTTTATTAAGGACACACTCGGTCCAAACAAAGACAGAACAATAACAACATACAGAAACACACACACAAGGACAACACCCACAATATCACATATTTACATGTGTACTAACACGCCAATGATTCCACATATTTGAAAAAAGCCTGACTGAATTTAGTGCCAAGTTCGTCGGTGTTAAAATTATACTCGACTCATGTACATCAGTAGCCTACTGATAACTTGAGATCGAAACTTAATTAACTCCGCCTTCTCCTTAAAGCAGTTCACAGACCTTACTGCCAAAAGTCATTGAGTTCTGAATGTGTTATTGTTGTTATAATTTGCCGCAGAGGTGGTCAGATTTTCACTCTGTAGTTTCAAAATTATAAGGCGCACAGAAAATACTTGCTTTAACCCCCTGGAATCCGGTAAAGAAATATTTAGGAATATACTTATTTCACGTTATCATCATGTTTGGTGCGTGATAGCGGTATTGTTCCCCAGCTTGTCTGTCTAATATCAACGAATCACGTCTCTGCATTTCTATCTTATGACAGCCCATCATATATATATATATATATATATATATATATATATACACAGTATATATTTATCCATACACACACAGTGGTAAAAAAGAATCGACCCCCTTTAAAAAATCACATTTTGTTGCTTTGCAGCCTGAGATGAAGACGGACAGTTTTTGTTTTATCAGCTGTATTTACTCAGTCAGTGCAACTTATAACATCCAAGTGAAAAATATAACACCAACATGTCAGACAAAAAAAAAATTTGAATCACAGAGTTGGAAAAAGGATCACCACCTTGTGTCAGTATTTTGTTGAACCACCTTTTGCTTAAATACAGCCTTTAGTCCAGGGATCCTCAAATCTGACCCACGGGATCCACTTTCTTGCACAGTTTAGCTCTAACCCTAATCAAACACACCTGAACATGCTAATCAATGTCTTCAGGATCATTAGAAAATCACAGGTAGGTGAGTTTGAGTAGGGTTGGAGCTAAACTCTGTAGCGCATTGGCCCTCCAGGGCAAGATTTGAGGAACCCTGCTTTAGTCTGTTGGGATACGTCTCTATTTGCAATATTTCCCCACTCTTTGCAGAACTGCTCAAGTTCAGTTAAATTTGATGGTGACTGTGGACTGCAGTCTTCAAGTCATTCCACAGATTTTCAATGGGGTTTAAGTTTGGGCTCTGACTGGGCCATGCAAGGACATTCACCTTTTTCTCCTTCAACCACTGTGTGCTCAGTTTTGGTGTGTGCTTTGGGTCATTGTCATGTTGGAAGGTAAACCTTCTCATTGACAACTTCCTGGCAGAGGGCAGCAGATTTTCCTCAAGAATTTGATGGTATTTTGCCTCATCTATTTTTCCTTCTATCCTGACAAGTGATCCAGTCCCTGCTGCAGAGAAACTCCCCCATAACAGAATATTACCACCTCCATGCTTTACTGTAGGAATGCTGTTATTTGGATGGTCAGCTGTATTGGATTTCCGCCAGACATATAGGCTACACATGCAGTTTGCTGACAATTCTGGAATTTCGGTCAAATATACATATCAAACTTATTTCCAAATTTCCCAGTAGTAAATACGACTTGAGAGGCGTTCACGTCTAATTTCCGATTAGGAAACTCATATTTACGATAATTCCGATAGCACGTGAAGGCAGCACTGTTGCACTGAGGAAATACAGCTGGATAAAACAAAAACTGTGTCCATCTTCAGTTCAGGCTGCAAAGCAACAAAATTTGATTATTTTAAATGGGGGTGATTATTTTCTATATCCACTGTATGTGTGTGTGTGTGTGTATACATACATATACATATATATAGTATTTTCTTGTATCTTAGTTAAAAGGAAAAGCATTTGTATTTGGAAAACTACAAAAAATGTATATTGACTTTATAAATATCCATGACCTTTTAAGATTCGAATTTCCATGACTTTTCCAGGTTTGCAAATCATACTTTTAAATTTTGGTTTAGCAGGACAAGATATACACACATAAACATACAATAAGCACTGGCCATTTAATTTCATTTAAAAAAGTAGGAAGTTGTCATTGTCAAACTCACTGTTATAGCCTTGCTACTGTACAAGAAGCGGAATTCATCTCCTAATTTGCATTGTTTATGATCAATCAACATGTGGCCATGCAAAACATTGAGCTTTACATTTTCACCAACATTAAAACAAAAGCACACTTGTTTAATGTGATCTCAAACTACATAACTGAGTCAAATTTATTCAGGAAAAGTTGTCATAAAAGTTTGACACAGTAGCTCAGAATAATTTTGTGTACACACTAAAATACTGATACTGCTGCAGACAGGTTTTCAATCTATAGATATGTGGGTTATTTTGTTACACTATCCTTTGAGAAGGAGGCTGCACAGTATGACAGCAAGAGCTTTTCATGGATTATACAACCAAAGTTAAGATAAATGGATAGTCAGTAAATTTAACAGTAAATTTGAAGTACATGAATGCTGAAACAGTAGTTTTAAGTATTTATGTTCAAAGTGTTCACTCTGTGCCACCTTCATCATCTTCAAGTGTTTTACGGAAAAATTTGCGATTTACTTTTACTTTCTTGCTACTGTTGAAGACAACATAGGACACCTTTTTGTCATCGTCCTCTTTTTCAGTCCCCCACTTTCTTTTTTTCTCTTTATTCTCCCATGAGCTGAGGTGGTGATGAAGAGAAGCATCCTCTCCTTCATCAGTCTCTTGTCTGTCATCCAAGTGTTGAAGTTCAACTTCTTCCTTCTTAGCATGATCCAGTTTGCTCCCACTCTGATCTTTAATCTTGGGTTTAGCAAACACAATCTTATTCTCACTGGTGCTGCCATGATCCTGGTTGAAAGCTGGAGTGAAAGTTTCAAGCGCGTCTTTCTGAGACCTCCTGCTGTCTTGAAGGCCTTGTATATACTGATGAGCGACCTGACTATTCTCTCTATCACTGGTTTCAGCGACATCTTCAAGACTGTAGTGGGTCCAGCGCTCAGGGCGCCCAAGGTAGTCTGGGAGTTTTTTACCTGGAGGTTGTTTTTTGGTTGTCTCTTGACCACACTTCCTTTTAGCTGCCGGTGGTGGAGGTGATGGTGGAGCAGGACGGGCAAACGTGCCATCAAGGATGTTGTCTTCACCTAGATCTTTAGACGTGAGCTTTGCAGCACTATCCAACTGTGCAAAGATGTCCCTGCTCCGATCACAAAAACCAGAGCTCCCACCTGTCAATCTGAAGGTGGGATTTTCTTGAGGAACAGACTGGACATGCTGCGGAGTCTCGTCTTCATCCTCTGAGGACGATGACAAGTCCTCAACTTTGCTGCCGAAATGCTCAATGGGCTCATCAGAGTCAGAGTCGCTTAGAGAAAGATCATCTGGTAGCTCAATTGTATCTCTATTAGACAGACTGTTGAGGGCATCATTTTCTTTGCGGTTTTGGTCACTCATTGTGCTGCTACTCTGAGGTTATGTCAAGGGACACAATTAGAAGCTGGATATTTATGCTGAGAAACCGTGTGAAAGATCTAAAGATGATAGAAATGAAGAATTACTTGTATTAGTGACGCACTAAACCAGAATCTCCTGACAGCTTCTTCAAGAATAACAAATGAAGTAAATGTAAAGTATTGACTGCACATATCACTAGTGCTAATAAACTAAATAGAATGGTGATCTTGAAATTCATTTTTGGACAAACTCATTAGAGACCAAATGACATTACAAGTTACAAGTAAAAAAGTAAAGATGAGGAACTACTCACTCACCAAACAGTTCTTAAAACACCTGTAGAAACCAGAATGAGAGACAAGCAGTGAGTGCTTCACTCAGTAAATATACATTATAACTGCATTATACAGTGGGTTATCTAATGATACTGAAGCACATGAATTTCAATACATTAATGATTCAAATCATTATCAAATATTCAAATCAAGTCCACCATATATAAATATATATATAT